AGGAAGTCGTCCTTGGGGAGGTTGAGGTAGGCCTTGAAGTCGAAGCCGTGGGCGAAGAGGCGGTTGACCTCCTCCTTGGTGCAGTCCGCGACGGCCATGGCGAGGAGGTCCTGGTCGGTGATGAGTTGGATGGTGTGGAGGGTCGTCAGGTGGGTGTTCATGAAGGCGGCGATCCGGTCCAGGTCGGAAACCGCGCCGGGGGCGGGGGCGTGGTAGCGGAGGGCCCGGTTGTCCAGCACCGGGTGCGGCGCCCCGTGGTCGAAGCGGAAGAAGCGGGTGTGGGTGAGGCCGTCCAGATGCAGGGGGTTCGCACTCGCGTCGGGCGCGGGGGTGGAGCCCTCGATCGTTTCGCTGCTGTAGGGCCGCAGGGAGGTGCTCGGGGGGTGGTTCGGGGGGTTCGTCGTCGTGGGCGCGACCCCCATGTCGTCCCACTCCAGGGAGTCCACCCGCCGGTTCAGCACCCCGGCGAACTCATTCACGATGTCCACAAACCCGTCCTCCTCGCTGGCGTTCGGGGAGAGATGGTCGGGGAATGGGGCCTCGGGCGAGCCCGCTGGGGGGTCGCCGGACTCCGCGCTTTTCTGCTTGTGGTACCGCACACACCACTCGGAGAAGACCATAAAAACACGATGCCGATGGGCCTTGACTCGCTCGTATTCCCCAATCGCACGGGCCACCGCGACCCAGCGCGAGGTCGCCGGGGACCCTTTCGGGGATATCTTGCTGAGCAGGACTTTGCCATAAAAGGGCTCCCCGACCGCGTCCACGGAGTCTGAAATCTCGTGGAGGGCGCTCAAGAGTTTGTAGGAACTCTCGTAAATCTCTTCCATTTTTTCCCTTTCTTCGGTAATGAACTTTTGGGTATCTTGCAGAGAGGAAACTTCACTCATTTCGTTTTCCTTGGCGTCCTCACTCTCATCCTTCCACATTTTCGCTAGACGCTTGTTTTCATTGTACAGGAGCTTGAATGTTTTGTTCGCCGTTTTGGAGATATCTTGCTCGAGCTCGCTCATTAACAGATCATGAGTCCCTTCGTCGGTTAGGATGCTGAGGCTCTGTCGACGGATCTCGACGCGTGACACCAAATCATCCAGACGATCCGCCTTATTTGACAGGATTGCTTTATCTTCCCGAAGCTTTGCGCATTCCGCCTCCTTATCCGCGACCTGCTGCTTGGTTGATTCCAGCTCCGCGGTTAGCTTGTCCAGGCTACGCTGCAGTTCAAGAAGCGTCAGCGCGCCGCTGCATACCCGAGTCTTCGCCTGGTCCAGAACCCGCACGTGGCTTTCGGCGATGTCGATTAAGGTTTGCCGTAGGGCGTCAAGCAATGCCCCGCGCTCCATGCACTCGCAGGCGATTTGGCGAATTAACTCCGTAAAGCCGATATCAATCACACGAACCACCCCGACGGCGGCGTCGGTGTAGCGTTTAAACAGCGCATCGGATTTCCTCGTGCGGTCAAAGCCCAGGGGGAGATCGCGCTTCGCGTCCGAGGCCCCCGCCCCGGAGCTGGGCGCGGGGGGATTCAACGGAGGCAGGATGTTGCGCGCGGTCTCGGGGTTGGTGAGGAGTGAAATCCACTCGGGACGTAGCAGGAGCATCTTATCCAGCATCTCGGCCAATAAATACACCTGCGCCCGCCCCGTGGGCCTCGCCGCGGGGAAGAAGATCTCATTTTTGTTCATCGGCCCGGCGGCGTCGCCGGAGGACAGGACCCTCGCACTTTCATCGGGTTGGCAGATATATCGATTCGGGGACGAGGCGTTTCGATTGCTCTCGAGGGAGCCCTCGAAGTTGGCCGCGGAGGGACCCCGGGGGCCGCCGCGTTTAACGGGCGAAATGGCGGGGGACCCCGGCTCACCAGGAGCCCCATGGCACGGGGCGCCGTGTGGGGCGTCTTTATTCGCCAGGCGGGCCTTGAGGAAGCCACGTCGAGGATTGGAAAGGCGACCCAACAGCGCCGAAGCCGGTGATTTCTGCTCAATCGCCGGGAGGTTTAGCAGGCGATTCGACATCACCCAAAACTGCTCCGGGATCCGCGTACTTTCCAGGCCGGTGAGGCGCTGGATGATATCGCGGCGATTCTGCGCCGCCAGGCGGGCATCGCGGGTGGTGGAGGTGAAGCACGTGTTGTCGTCGTGGCCAATACGCTCGTACTCGCGCGAAACGGACAGAATAGCGTGGAGAAACGAAAACGGCAGCTCCTCCAGGGCCGTTGAGGGGGCGTCTTTCGGTCCTTTTTCGCTTGAGTTGACGTTTCCCGAGGCTTCGAGAGGCGAGGCGGCAGGGTCCTTTTCAGGCATCGGATGGTGCTTTACCGCCACCCTACCAGGCCCCCCGGGCATTTCGGTATATTTCAAAATACTGGTCAGGGAAAGATGCGAATTGGGAAGCTTCGCGACGTTGGTTTTGGTTAGGGGCGTTTCGCCCTCCTTGGGGCAGAGTTTATTCTTCATTATATCTTTGGAATATCGCTTGACGAGTTGCTCGACAAGAACCGCGTCATTCTTGTTCATCATCGTGCGGGTGATTCCAAAGTTGGGGGACGCATCCGGCCGGATAGCGGAGCCCTCCGCATTCGGCAGGTCACTTTCACTCGCCTTGAAGGACTCGAACGCCGTTGGTGCAAACCCGGTCAAGTCCTCTATGGATCCCATCCCCAACCGAACGTCCAGGCCGGGTAAGCCACGCAACGCCTCGGAAATCGGCCCCGCAAAGGGCGCCGAAGAAGTTGGAGGAATCGCCAAAGGATTCCCACCCGTCATCGGGGAGTGTCCCCCGGGTGATTTCGCCCTTTCATAGCGATGACTAGAAGCAGCGGTGGTGGATTCCACTACCTTCCCATCCCCGGTGCGTTTTCCTTCCCAAACGCTTGACTGAGGCGCGGGTGCCTCGTTGCCAAGCCGTTGGGTCGACAGCACATCCTCGCCGGGTCGATCGTTTTCCGTATGGAGCCCGGTTTTCGCGTCGGTATTGCGGTCTTTTACTCGGGAGCGTTTGGACAGAAACGAAATTGCGGAGGGCGTCTGCTTCGTCGGCCGCCTGGTCCGCGAGACGACTTTAAAACAGCTCTGCAGGAGGGTTTGGATGGTTTGCGGCGTAATCCGATTGTCGGCCGGGACGGGGTACTCGACGTCGCCGATGGGGTAGTCGTCCCCGTCCGCGGTCTCGAGCGTTCTCGCCTCCTCAGCCGGGGCTTCGTTATCGCCCAGGGCCTTCGTGTAGGGATCCCAGGGGCTCGGATCCTCGGCGGGTTGGGAAGCCCCAGACCCTGGCGTCTCCGACTGGAGCTGCAGATCGCTCCACAGACGCTGCGTGAGAATTTCCGTCGCCGAAGTGAGCAAATTCTCCACCCCATCCAGCCCTTTTTTCGATGAATCCCCTCCAAAAGAGGGCAACACGCGCGATGGCTTGGGCGACGTCGCCATCGCGCCGACGAGTCGGTGATCGCTTAGCGAGGCCAGGGGACTTTCGCTCAGGCGCGGCGTTTGAAAGCGTCGGAGCGCGTGGGCCGTTGTGGGGCCAGGGGGAAGTCCGGGATTGGGGCGGGATTCCGCCGCGTGAAGGGCCGGCGATTCATAGCCCGCCGAGGGATAGCCCTGGGGGAAACTCCCATTCAGCGAGTCGCCAGAGGGCCGTCGCGTGTGGCCGGTGCCGGGTAGCGATGGGTTGTCGGGACTGGGTTCTTGATGACTCATCCCGTCTGTTGGTAGTTTCCTTCACCTCTGGGGTGTGTTTGGTTTGGTCCTTTGGGTTCGGTGGTAGACTCGTGCCCAACTTTCCCTAAAACTAATAAAAGAACACCGATTGCAAATAAAGGATTAAAAAGACAATTTAGGAGATGAACAACCTAACACACACACACACCAAAAAAACAAACAGAATCAACAGCACCAAGGCTTGCTTGGTGTCTTTTCCCATTACCCCCAATCGTGGGGGACGAGTCTTAAAGGATTAGATTTAAACCCAAGCACGTTAACTAGTACTGCAACCCGAGTTTAGCAAAGTTATTCACGTTTTCTTTTTTATTTAATTAACATTTCCTCTCCCTCAAAGATTCCGTTCTTCACCGGACGGAGGTCCCGCCCTCAACAAACTCTCGCATTCGCCGCGCGGCGTCTTCCAATGCGGGGTGATCCGACGGCTTCTTCTGCACATCGGTGCCTAGCGAGGTGATTTGAATAGACAACGCGGGCTGAAACACATAGGACATGGGATCGACAATGTAGGCGTCCTTGCTCGCGTCCTCATTCTTCAGCTCACTGGTAATGTGGGTATCGATTTGCCACGTCAGTGGGAGGGATAACTCCAAGCAGCGCCGTGCCGATGCTTCGTTCACCACATAGGCGGTCAGCTCCCGATGGCCTTGGTAGGCACGACGAACGCCTTCCGCGACGTACGGACGTGGGGGTTTCCCCTCGGCGAGAAGATCCAACCCACCGAGATAAACAATGCCCCAGTCCTTCGGGACCCGCTCCCAGAGCGGCCCCAGCTGGCGGTGAAACCTCGGGCTTAACTCCGCATCATCCTCCAAGATGAGCGCGGCCGTCTGTCTCGACGCGACGACTTTCTCCCAGACCAGGCGATGACTTAGCGCGCACCCAATCGCCCCCGGGGTGAGGTCCATCCCGAACAATTTTTGCGCGATCGGCTGCACAAAGCGCCGGTAGCCCTCCTCCGTCAGGACCCCGGCGGCGTGCAGGGCCGCGACGTCTAAGGTGGAGCCGTCCACACCGCTCACGCGCGTGGGGGAGACGCCGGGTTTGAGAAACCGCCCCAGACGGCGTTTTTGAAGATCGGCCGAGATGTGGGACCAGCGGTCCGGGCGACGGTCGAGATTGATGACATAACAGGCATCGAAAAGCGTGCGTAGGAACGTGCTGGTTCGCATGAACTAAGCAGAAATTCAAGACGGGGCTTTTTTTTTTCCTTTTGTGGGATAATGCAGTTCCTTTCTTTAGTTTCTTTTCTTTTTTTTGTGTGTGTGAATACAGATGCCAATAAGGACAACACGTGCATCAGAGTTTATTTTTGTCCAGTGCAAAAGTTCGGGGTTAAGCGGCAAAAGCACAAGAACACTAATCATATGCATCCGTGATTCGACGCTCATGTTGATGTAGAGGTTTCAACCATACGGGTCCATCCGTCCTCCATGTGTTTTCCCATAACGTACCGATGACCATGGAAGGAAGGTTCAAAATTAGTTACGTGTTAATCAGCAAACTCGCTTCAGGCTTCGTCGTTGGTGGTGGGCCCAAGGCCTTGGTGCCGGCGCTTGGGTCCCCAACCAGGAAGATTGGGGATAAACTTCGCGATACCCGTCACCTGTCGTCGAAAATCGTACTGACGGTCGTACCCAAAGTCGGCCTCCATTAAGGGCGAGACCTGAATCCGAAAAGCCCCCCTATCCAAGCCATTTCCGCCTGATGGGCGCCTCTTCGCCGCCGCGTCCTGGCCTTCGGGGCCGGGCTCGAGCTCGTCGGCGAGCTGCTTCCATCGAAGCATCACGGCAAAAAGAACCGGCGGGGGGCAGTCCGTTTTAATCCCCGACGCCTCGCAGTGGACTTGACTGCAGTGGAAGCCCAGCCTCGCCAGGGCCGCCACGAAGACCGGCGTCGGCGGACAACGCGCCCGGACGTACGAGGCGACGTCCGGGAGTTTGTAAAAGAGCGGGCACCCCGGCAGCTCCTCCATCGCGAGGCGCACCAGCCCCGTCAGCCGCGCGGCCGCCGCGAGGCCGCCCG